TATTATTATTATTATTACTTGAGCAGTTCACTTTTCTGAATAGGAGTGAGAAGCTGTGTCTGGTGTTGTGATTTTTTTCTTTTTTCTTTTTTTAAAATTCATTAGTATTCAAACAGGATATAAACAAACAAACAAACAAACAAACAAACAAACAAACAAACATGCAGATCTCACTTGTTGTTGCAGCCAGGTGGTAAACAGCATGTGTGAATCAGCCCTTAACCTAATCCATTCTTACTTCATTCATGACTGGAGAAAAGGTAAACACAGAGCTCTCCACTGAAGTAAGAAATCTCGAGATACAAATTAAGGATTCTGAAACATTTTCCACTATAGTTCTCATTCTGAGAGTTCTCTGGTGATTCTTTACTTTTATTTAAGTGCCTGTGAAGCTTGGAGGGCTGCTGCCATGTGCGTCGAGGAGTGTGGTTATGCTCAAGAAGGTTTCTATTTCAGGTTAAAAGCTATCCCTTTTGACCCCTATTGCCGAATGGGCATTTGGGCTTGAACCTTGACCTAGCCTTTTCCTCCATGAACACCAACCAGATGCATGTCATATTAAAATGGCACGGGATCGTGACATATGCTGGCAGACTGAAGCTTGGGAGTGCGTCACTGGGGCTTGAACATGGGGAGGAGGCAAGTGCAGGGAAGCAGGTGCACCGTTTATGAAAGTGGACTGTTTGGTATGAATAAGTGGGAAGAAAACTGTGTTGCTGATTCCTCTGTTTTAATTTCTGGATTGGCCTGCAGTCTTCTTTTCTGGATCCATAGCTTTCACCTGTATACAACGGCAGGTATCATGGCTGCCCACAGGAATTTTACTTACCGGATTGGCTGCTCTTGCCTCTTAACACCAGTCAATCCAGGTGTCAAGCCTCTCTTTTCAATCTTGTCAACACAGTGTTTCTCCAAAGCTTTAGCTAGAATTCTCTTTGCCCTACCTGGAAATGCTAGGGGTTGAGTCTGAGACCTTCTGCATGCTAAACATGTGCTCTTTTAGTGAGTTATGGCCTCTCCCCCCCCCCCATGGAGAGGCCTTCCCCATTGGTGAAATGAGTCCCATTGCCTGGGATATCTTGATTCAGAGTAGACCCTTTGCGCGCCAAACTTTACAGAATCTAAGAGGGGGGGAAGTGATATTGTAACTGAATGTTTATTGTACAATGGTGCAGTTATGTGGTTGAGTTTTATCTCTCTTTTTTGTCAACTGATTCTAGTTTTAAGATCAGGAGCATGCAGTGACAGGAAGAACAAGACAACAACAACAACTACTACTACAACTCACCAACAAGTGAATGCCCAATATTGTGACAGAACTATTTATGCAAATCTGTTTAGGAGAAAGTTCTCCTTGGGAGAAAATTAAATGGGATTTGTTCCCCGACAAGTATGCATAGGATTTCAGTCTCAACTATGCCTAGGTCCAAGACAATCTGGTGGAGCAGAAGGTGAAATGAACACACTGAAAAGAAGAGATTTGACACAGATTGAAATGTTTATTTTGCTGCAGGTAGAGCTTGCTTCGTAGTATTGATTTGGTCCCTGATTAAACGATAAAGCTCAACAAAAGCGACCTCTACTTCTAAAAGCTCTTGAGACACAGCAATGGCTGGATGACAGATAGATGACACAGGCTTGTTTGAATGTTCTGCATCATCTGGTACAGTGGCACTGAATGCTGCCATGGCAGTCCAAAGGGAAATGAGAGCACAAGCGGTGGCTTCTCATGGATTTGAAATGCAGGCACTTAAGATTTATTCTAAAAGTCACTGGAGTCTTAAAGGTCTACTGCTGATTGTGCTAAAGCCAACACTTCCAGGGCAATCAATAAGGCTTTCCAGAAATTGGGAAATACCTTCTGAATCCTTTAGTTGCCTGGCAAAGTCTAGGCATACCCATGTAGTGTTTCCATGCACACACTCTGTGGTATGTGTGTGTATATTGCACAGGATGTGTGTTGCTGGTTTTTCCTTTCACAAGCAATTCCTCTCATCTCTTGGCAAGGTGTTGTCTGAATTCCAGAAGGTCTAAAGGAGTGCCACTGGAAAGCAGACATTGACAATCCTGATCCATATATGGAGCCTTAACCATTTGGTGCTTTGGGCACTGACCAAGGTTTCTGGGTTAAACTTCAGAAGTCTTCATAGGTCTATAAAGGGAATCTTTCCATGATGTCCAGAACAGCCACTCCTGCTAGATGTTTTGGGGTGGGATGTGAGAAAACACAGCAGTGGTTCTTGCTAGATCAGTCTTTCCATGGGGGGAGGCTGTTCCATGTCCCACATTTCAACTCTAGATCCTTCCTTTTCCTGGCGGCTAGGGCTATAGGTCCCTTGGGTAGCTCGTTTATTGGCTGTTACAATGGATACAGTGCCTGCCAGAAGAAAGATCAGTAACAAAGCCAGTGTTACTGAGCCAACAGAGGTGAATATGTTGGAGGCCAAGTCAGTAGTCAACTGCAAGGGAAGAAAGAATGTGCAACATGACTGACATTGAAGAAGAAGAGGAACACACAGAGAAGTTATCATGGAAGGTTAGACAAAATCCTGTTGGTGTAACTTTGTACCAGGATAACCCAGACTGGGTGCCTGAAACATTTAGTGTCTTATGGAAAGCTTCCTATCCTCCCTCCCCATTTTCAATTTTAAGGATGCCTAGGGAAGCCTTTGGGAGCCTCAAGATGCAGGTGGGGGAGACCTGAATATTTTTAAAAAATCACTGCTGGATCACTGCCAGCACGACGAGGACTGCTGCCAGTGATCCTGCAGAGAACCTTTGCTATTAAAGCTCCCCACCACCACACACAATCTGAAGGCTACCAAAACCATCCCCCATGTTAAAAGTAGGCCTTGATATTCTTGAAACCTAATATTGGGAGGGTAGGAAGCCTTCCATGAAATCAAACTAAATGTTTCCAACATGGTATTTAAGTCATGCCACTGCCAAGTTAGTTGGAAAGTTTTCTGATACATACTTAAAGATACAGTTATAAGAAATGTCTGTCTAGTTCTTCTACTCAGAAGGTCCATACACTTGCTGAGAAATGAACTGTTTCTCCCTCTTACCACTATAAACAAATAGTCTGTCTGGGGGGCGGGGGACATGTCATCTAAATGTTTGGTGAGGTGAAGAATTCATATTTTGGAACTGTAATATTCCAAAGTACAAGATCCCATCTTAAAAGCAATATCCATTGTGGGAGTTGAGCTCTGGAAAGGAAATTCATCCCATCTCTGTATGACTTCTATGTCTTTGGAAAAGGAAATCCATAGATAGATCTATTATTTTCACAACAGTACATGTTTTATAAAACATGGCATCATCAGCAATAAAACCAGTAAAAGAAAATGTTTCCAAAGTGACATCAATTAAACGGAAGAAAACTAGAATTTTCAGAGATAGGGAAACTATTCTCATATCCCCCCCCATCCTGTATGTATCAGAAACCAATGATGACAAGATGTACCGTGAGAAAACATGGCCATTCTAGACAGCATCAGCCTGGGAGGATTTTGATATCCGGCCTGATTTTGCTTTGGGTTTTTTTGACTGGAATTACTAGTGACAATTGAACCATCAGAGATGGAATGTGTGCTTGGGGCTGGACTTTCCAATCTCAAATGTTTGAGAACAAACAAACAAAGCCAGGAGGCCTCTCTCTCTCTCAAAAACTATATCCCAGAGATTAAGAAACCAAACTGACTACCTGTGCAGGGAACAGTCTTTCTGACACTGATTCCTAGAAATATGGTTTTAATAAATTCCTCGTTTTGTTCAACATTTGACCTATATATAGTTCACCAGTACATTTTTATGCTGTAAGAGAATGCCACTGGATGAACATGAAACAGAGTCTTGGGGCAAGGGGTGGGGTGTAAGGTGTTTTTGTTTTTAAAGATCCACATACAATAAAACGAAACAAAACAAAATAAAGGAACAAAGCTAAACTTACCCTGTTTCCCCTAAAATAAGACCTAACCTGAAAATAAGCCCTAGTATGATTTTCCAGGATGCTTGTAATATAAGCCCTACCCCCAAAATAAGCCCCAGTTAAGTGAAACCCCACCCTCCACCATTGTGCAGCATTGTGCAGGAAGCAGAAGCAGAAGATGATGACATGACTGCATTTGAACAAATGTAGATTGTTGTACATGAAAAAAAATCCCCTGAAAATAAGCCCCAATGTGTTTTTGGAGCAAAAATTATTTGCTCCAAAAATCTTATTTTCCGGGAAACATGGCAGTTCAGGGCATCTGTTTAGGAAATTTGTGAAAAGCAGTGATTACAGTCTTGCACTTATGATTATCATGTCCCTCAGAAAATGAAATAGTTAATTAACCATTAATTAAACAATAGTTAATTAACCATTAATTAAACATTTGCAACAGCACTCTAACCTTTTTTTAGGTAGCAGCCTTACTTAGAGTTTCAAGAAAGAGTGGCACATACAATATTTCACAATATTTCTTAAGAGTTTGATGAAACCATTCAAGATTCTGCTCTGCCTGGAAATTAATTGTTGGTGGATCAGAAGCATTTACAGATTGCCACTGCTCTGTGGGTTCAGAAGTGTATTAGTGTTGAGGCTCACAGCAGCAGACAGCCAGGACTTTCAGATTAGCAGGGGCAAAGATATCATCCGTTGTCCCTTTTAGTTTTCTGTGCTTTGTTGCAAACTTCTGGGTAGCTGACTGGAAATGGATGGGTTTTCCCAGCAATAATATGCTCTTTTGAACTATCTGTCTTACAGTCAAAAGCAAAGTTGTTAACTATAGTGGAGCAACTGAGGATTTGACTGATAGCACCAAAGTTTAAACACCACAAACATTTGTTGATGGATGGTGTGAAACCAGCTGCCTCTGGCCATTCCTCCTTGAGTGGAACAAGACAAAACATAGGTGGGATGAGCACAGAAGCCATATGGCCAATCTTGTGTTATGGTATGTTGTATATTCAGCCGATCTTCCCCATTCCTTTATTCTTATCCCATTTATGCCAATCTTGTGTGACCAAATGTAATCAACCAGGTAGAAAAGCCCCTAGTTAACAATGCTGATTATAAGTATTTTGGATTGACTTTATTCTAAATGAGCAATTAGGTGCCACTGGTTTTATGAAGGTTCCGCTCCTTATGTGGTGATGGTGGTGGGTGGGTGTCATTTCATCTCAGAGCATCTTGAGAACCATATCGGAAGGAGAGTGTGGCTCTATATAGATGCACAGACATCACACTTTGTTTCTCTCTCAAAGTGTTCGGTTGTGTGCATGCATTGTGGTTCAAAAACCTTAATTGACTGAAATGTATGAAAGTGGTGGATACATCGGAACATTTCTCTTTCTCTGATCAGCTGCAGCCCCCCAAGGTGCCAGCTGTAGCCTTTCACATCACTATTTTCTCTTGATATCTGTTACAGGAGAATGTGTGGGGGGGTGACACTGAATCCTCTGCAAGCAAAATGTGGGCTCTACCATTGAGATACTTTAGAGGGTAGGCCTTCTGCCTCCCTTGTTTGGTGGGAACAGCTGTCTTTAGATAAGATGATGTGAAGAGGTTTGCCATTGCGATGTATAGTCATTTTATTTTAAAAAATCAGAAGGAAATAGTGTTCTCTTGGGTAAAGGGGTGGAAAACCTGAGGCTCCCCAGATGCTATTCCCATAAATTTCTGCCAGCTTGATGAATGGTGAGAGATGGCAAGGGTAGTACCTAGATGAATCTCTAGAGGGTGACCAGATTTTCACTTGGGTGATCTGTTTTGTACAGATTAAATGTGGTACTTCGTTCATAGTCACACACAAGATAACTATGGTATGGCTGTTAAGGACAACAGCTGAAAGACATATTACCCTGATTGAGAATTTATTTATAAAAGGGGAGGTGTTTAATCATCTCATAGGACATAGGGGAAAGACATGATTGTCACGCTTTGTTTTGTGACTCATCACTGCAAGGTAAAAATGATTAATTTGCAAATCTGATGGCAGGGGATCTGAGGAGATCTTATTGTGGGAGGGGAAAACAGGTTAGTTAAAGGAACCACCTCAGGAACTTTGTACTGTGTGTTATACCTCATTTGATGATGCAGTTAACATGGTACATAGGTGTGGGGGCAGAATTGGTGAAATGTGACATAAAATCAGTATTTCAGATTTTGCCAGTTCACCCGAGGGATTTTGACCTGTTAGGATTTTTCTTTCAAGGTTCTTTTTATATAGAGAGAGTGTTACCTATGGGCTGCTTAGTTTCATGTGCAGCACTTGAATAGTTCAGTTCCTTCCTTGATTGGAAGCTTAGGAGTAGAGTGGGATGTAAGAATATGGCCCATTACCTCGATGACTATCTTTTTTGTGGGGAAAGGAACACTGTAAGGGGTAAATTTATACTGGACATCTTCTGTTCCATGGTGGACGGATTAGGTCTGCCTTTGGCTGAGGAAAAGATGGAAGGGCTGACTACGGCCTTGATGTTTTTGGTTATTGAATTAGACACGGTTCGGCAAATGTCTCAGTTACCAAAAGAAAAATTAGCTGACCTAAAGGTCAGGGTAAGTTATTAAATTAGACATGGTTCGGCAAATGTCTAAGTTACCAAAAGAAAAATTAGCTCACCTAAAGGTCAGGGTAGCTTCGATGGTACAAAAGAAGGTGACCCTGAAGGAGCTGCAGGAGATGGTTGGACACCTAAATTTTGCCTGCAGATTGGTGGTGCCTGGTCACGCCTTTCTGCGTAGGCTGTGTACCATAATGCATGGGCTCAATCATCCTTTTCATAGGACCAGGTTTACTCAAGGCATGAGAGAGGAATTGAAAGTTTGGAGGCAGTTTCAATGGCATTTCATTTTGGAGAGGAGAAAGGATTCTTAGAGTGGAGTTTCAGATCCAGTCAGACGCTGCAGGCTCCTTGGGGTTCGGAATATATTTTGCTTAGAGTGGAGTTTCAGATCCAGTCGGACGCTGCAGGCTCCTTGGGATTTGGAATATATTTTAGAGGCAGATGGTGTGCCAGAAAGGGGCTGGAGGAATGGCACCAAGCCAGGGTCACTAGAGACCTAACATTTTTGGAGTTTTTTCCCCCATAGTTGGTGCATTGTGGCTTTGGGCAAGTGCATGGGCCAACGCTGTGGTATGTTTCTGGTGTGACAACCAGGCAGTGGTTTATATTGTAAACAATCTGACTTCACATTTGAAAAGGATCATGACTCTGGTCAGGGCCTTCATACTGTGTGCCCTGACATTTCATCTTCTGGTGCAGGCCAGGCATGTAGACAATAGCTTAGCAGATGCATTATCACATTAACAGATCGAGTGGTTCAGAGAGTTAGCTCGTGGAGCCAACAAGTTCTTGGAGACTCTTCCCCCAGAGGTCTGGCAAATTGGTGTGGTGATGGAGAAATGGCAATAGGCCTGGCCCTGGCACTGAGGACGCGAAAGTGAGGACTCTGCTGTGAGTATGGAGT